CGCGCAAAAAGTTCTTGTGAAAAATCCTCATGCACGTGGAGGCGATAGTCGTGCATTCCTCGAATGGACATACGCCTCCACGTTCTAAAAAGATTTTTCTAAAAGCCATACACGCGCGTCGGAGGATATCGACGTCGTTGCGACAATAGCGAATTATCTCGCGTTGAAAATCGAAAACGATATTTTTACGCGTCATCTCCGCGTGCCACGTTAGAAACCGTTCGCGCTCCTCGGGTTTCATTTGTTCGGGAGAATAATATCGTACTTCGGGTAACGGACCGACGTACGTTTGATTCGCGCGCGTGTTAAACAAATGCGGGAAGATCCCCTTATCCGCCGTATCCCGCATCCCGAAAGCTTTTGGTAAATCGGACAAGCGCATCGGCATGTAATTCACGCTATCGATAAATTTAGTATGTCCGACCGTCATTACGATAATTTTAGTCCCGTTCAAAATCACCCGTGGTTCTTCCCTCGTTTTCGCGTCCTCTACCAAGTGTTTTAAAATAAACTGCGCGTCAAACGCTTTTGCATTATGCGCGATACAGATGATCTTTTTGAAATATTTAGTTTACGCGTGGCGAAATCGACAAACTGTTTTACCGGATCGTGCCGAAATACGAATTCGCGCACTCCGCACCAGCGGCATCGCACCGACGTCGTATCCTCTATCGTCGAGCACTCTTCGCAAATCTGCTGCGCGACGCAAAGAGTCGGCACGTGAATTTTTACGCTCTCGCAACCCTCGAGCGTCTCGTCTTGTCGCGTTTCGAAGTCGTAAAACACGAATGCGACGCGATTCCTGCTTGCGTCTGGCGCCGCCGCCGACGCCGCCGCAGATGTCTCGGCGGTTTCGTTCGCGTGCGTCTCTATCGCGCTCGTACCCTCCGCGGGATCTTCGCGCGCGCGGTTTTTCGCGCATCGACGAGGCTGCATAAAACAAAGATGATTCGCGGACTGGCACGAGCGACACGTCTTGCAATACGCTACGTCGCATTTATGTAGCGAGTTCGATTTTACGAATCGCCCGCAACTGTCGCAAATTCGAACGGATTTACAAACGCTCGCGCTCGATCTGCCGTCGTAGGATTTTTCCGCGCGATGACGCTCGAAACACGAATTACCGAAGAACGGTAATTAACGAGCGATTACACGACGCGCACTTGACGATCTCCGCGTCACGATCTTCGCACGACGCCGCGGCGTAGCATCGCGGGCACCTTTTCGCGCAGCGATGGCCTCTGTCGTTGCGAAAACCCGTGTTGCACGTCACGCAATATCCACCTCGAGAACCGGCGGCGGCCTTTAAATTTAAGATGGGATTATAATGACGCGAACGCTCGTAATACAATATATTTAATCGATGGGTGGGTTCGCGACCTAGAGAGGCAAGTAACTCGCGGCCGTCGTACAATAGTTTCCCCCCGCGCGCAAAAGTGCTAAAATTATATACCACTATCGCTATATTTTCAGCGGCGAGAAACCGCTGAAAACGCTCGATTTCGCGAATCCCGCATCCCTCCTCGGGTATCGTAATACCGGCGTTCCTCGTCAGTTCTAACGCTAATGCGCGCTGTAACTTAGAACTCCGGTATCTTACGGAATTCCACCTTTTGTGGAGTTCTCCCTCGCGCAGATTTCCGCGCTCGCAATAAATTCGCGCCACTACGAGTGATCGGGGCAGGCACAAATTATCAGTATTGCCGAGCTGTAAAATCGAGCGCTTAACAACGTCCTCTCGCGTCAATTTATTTGACACGCCCCCGCGTCCCGTGGGCGCCGCGACGTTAAAAACGCGTACGATGAAACTTTCGGCGATATCGAGCCCCGCGGCGCTCTGCGCTATCGAACTCACGAGTCCCCATATGTCCTCGTGGGTCAAGTCACGCACCGGACGAAAGGATAGCCCCGCCGGGCCGTGCGTCAGATCCACCGAATCGAACGTTAACCCCACGTAATCGCTCGGGGCGCTCGAACGAATCGCGTACGCGTGAATTTCGCGGAACGCGTTTTCTAACCAACCTACGGTATCGCTACCCTCGGGCAACGCGCGTATTTTAAAACTAGCCTCCCGACCGAGTATCTCAAAGTTTCTAAATCGCCGCGAGTTTTCCGCCTGTAGTTCTATAAAATGAAAATTATCTACGACCTGACGACGCTGCTGTTCCTGCTGCTGCTGCTGCTGCTGCTGCTGATGATGATGCTGCTGATGCTACTGCTGTTGCTGCTGCTGTTGTTGCTGCTGATGCCGATGCTGCTGCCGGAGCACGCCATCGGCGTCATCGTTGGCGTCGTCGTCGTCGTCGTCGTCGTTGTCGTCGTGATTATCGTTGTTCTCCAAGGAATTATGCGCGAGTTCGGCTTCTTCTTCTTCTTCTTCTTCTTCTTCTTCTTCTTCCGCTGGAGAATTCTCCTCTCTCTCTCATTTTGCGAAGAGGGTCGGTTAGCACCGGCGCCAGTCTGTACTGGAAAAATTAAACACAGTTAGTTAATCGCCGACAGCAGCGAATTATATTACGTTTGAATCTTATTTTTCTTTCTCGCGATACAACGACTATGTCATAGCATACCAAGGAAACTCACCTCTAGCTGGTTTATACCCACGCCCGGGATAATATTTTTCCCTCTTCCCCGCCTCTTTGTCAATATTCCGGAGACGCGGGTAAAACCGGGGAGTATGATATATCTAATAAGAAATACTCTCTTAAAATTACCACGAAGCAAATTAATTAAAAAGCGTGGCGAAATATTGTTACCTTCCTCCTCCTCCTCCTCCTCCTCTTCCTTCTGCCCCTCGCCAAGTTCTTCCCGCATCAACTGATACCCGATATCGCTGTCCTAATCGAAAGGCTGCGCTTCTTCTTCGCCCACCCCAGCCTCCTCCTCCTCCTCCTCCTCCTCCTCCTCTTCCTCGTTCTCCATCTCCTCTACTATAAGGTAATATTTTATTATCTAAACTACCCGACGTAGGACTTTTTAATTTTTAAATCTTATTGTTCAAACTTACGTGGCGTAAAGATCGTTGGATCCGCCGGACTCACGGATCTATGTGAGG